ATAAAAATTATTAACCGAATATGTAAGTGGACACCTTAATTAACATTTCAATAAAAAAAAGATTAGTTTTGCTAATTAACTAGCATTGTTTTTAACAAATGAAGCTGAAATGGCGTCTTGGGGACAATTGTAACAATAAGTAAAGGGACGATTGTAACAGCTGAAAATAAATAATCTTATGTTTACAAACCATTACTTAACTCTTTAAGAACCACCAATAGTTTCCTATATCATTTATATTATGTTGCATGTGCATTATTTTATTTGTCACCTTTCACAGCATAAATTAAAATTTTTAACCCCTTAAAGTTAAAAGTTTAACCCTTTAGGTCTCTGCTCATTATTATTTTTACTCCTAAAATATCACTACTATTTTGATCAATAAAAAAATATATCACAACTATGATAATATGTATAATTAACTATGTTTTAGTTGAATTTATGAACTGTTACAATTGACCCCGTAAGTGGGGACAATTGTAACAAGTGCACGACTGTCAAAAATTGTTAATAACTAATATAATAACATTTAAAATAAGGTATTCATTTATTTTTCCAGTAGAAGATAGTCTACTTTACTCGTCGGTCAATTAATACTAATAATATATTGGATTTTTTGTTAGTTAAGAATAGTTAAGTTAAAAATTTTACAATTGACCCCACTCTCCCCTACTACAATTTTATTTCTTTCCCTGTAATTTTTATAAAAAGTACAATTTTACTTAAATGAAAGTAAACTCTTGTAACTTAAAATTGTATTAAAATTTTTTTAATCCTTTACAAGTAAATATTGTAACTACGAAAGTTCCTCATAAAATTAAATATAAAAATACAAAAACTATAAACTTACTCAACCCAAATGACCATATAAAATTAAATTTAACTTTTCTAAGAAAAAAGTTTAGTTGGTAGAATTTAGTATACAATAACCAAAACTGGTCTCTTTATCATCATATGCCGACAGATATAAAATTGCTTTATTTCAAATTAATTGCCATTCACTGGAAAATAAAACGATTAAAAGAAAATACTTTTATTAAAGTTCTCCAGCAATGATGAATTTTTTAAATAAATCGAGGAAAAGAAAACTTGTTTTCCTTTATAACATCAGATAATTTTCTTTAAAATAAAACTTATTTTCTACAACTTTCAAGGACAAGTCAAAAACAACTTTATATTATATTAATCTCTTTATTTTCAATTTCTTCAAAATAAATAAAATTATTAATAATCTTTTTAAAAAAAGTACATATAGAAAAATAAAAAAAATATATAATATTTCTTATTTGGTAGCAATATTTTATATATACGACTATAGATCTTTTCAGTTTTGGTCATTAAACTGTACATTATATTCTTGTGACTTTTTGCTTTTCATTTTTAGAAAAATGTCCAAAATAACCATTATATTAATTTTCCATACATAGGATATTAAAAACCTACTACAAAACACATTTTTCATCGATCAACCATTTATTAGTTTCAAATATAAAGTTGATTTATTAAATATCATTAATCATGTGTACTTTAAAAGTTTAGTCATTATCTTTGAAAAATTACTTGAAAAGCTCTCTATATTTATCATCAGCCTTTGCCTCTTTTAGTTAGAAATATTTAAAAAAATTTATAAACATACAAAATGTTCACATTATTACTAAATGTTAAGATAGTAAAATCTATGAAATTAAGTTCATAAAATTAATTAGAAAAAATACTAAAAAGTTTTTATTTTAAAATGTATTTTTCATAACAATAAAAAAGTTCATTCGAACATTTAAAGTTTAAAGCCTTATGCTTTTTGCAGTTAATATTTTATTAAATATTTTCCAAAAAAAAAAACTTTCATTTCAAATTCAAATACAAATTTGAGATTAATCTGATAGATATGAATTTCGCATCCGGCTTGCAAACCCAGACGCAAATTTCAAAAAGTGCTAATTATTAAAATTCAAAATTTCAATTAAAATTAGCAACTTTTTAAATCATATTTCTTTTAGTTTACTATTGAAAAAGAAATGCAAAAAATATTTGCATATGAACAATATGAAACGTAAATCATAGTGGTAAATATGATTGAATAATTAAAGAGATAATAAATAAATAAAAGTGAATTGAGTTTCTACTACTTTTTATATAAATAGTAGCATTTTGCTTCCCTGAAAAATTAACAATAAAATATGGTTTCATAAGTAATAAAATTTAGTTAATGTGGCATAATTTGTTGATTTTATTACGATAACTTAAAGCATGGCATAAAAGTCATCCATTTAGTATAATTTACTTTTCAATTTTGCATTTTTTTACTAAATGAGAGGTAATAAGAGCTATAAAATTGAAAAACAGAATTTCTAGAAAACCATTACCTTATTAACAGCAAAAATTACTAAATGAACGGTTTAAATAGCGTATATTTCGGTTTTATACACCAGGATTGTGATATTTGTTGCCATAAATACCATTAGCATGTAGTACTGTACTTATATCAGAATTTTTGTTTTTCTCTATGCTACATGAACACTTCAAGAGTCCATTTCCGGGTACTAATCTATCCCCCTATGGTCAATCATTCCTACATTTGGTCATCGTTATTCTACTCTAGCTTCCACACTCATCATTAAGCGATAACTGAATTGGACTAGCAATGAAGCATAAACACCTCAGAAACAAACTCATACAAGTGCCATTGGCGATATATTTCTAGCTCACGAATATCGCTTGAAGCGAACGAACTGTTATTACATCACGCAATGATAGGAGTTTCAAAGTTTGATCAATATGAGCTCAGAAAGAAACTCTAGATCACTGGCGTGGATAACTTGGTCACAGCTTCGAAAAGACAATCGCCAATTCCCAAAAGAAAACATCGATCAAAACGGGAGAGGAAAAAGAACAATTATTTTCTGGCGCGCTTAGAGAAGAATATTTCTTTCAGATTTGTCGCTGTTCTATTTTGTATTTTCTTACGTACCCGTATGTAAAGATTAATAGGGCTTGATGCCATTTTTGAGAAATGTACTTAATTGAGAAAGTATTCTAATTGCTTAGCAAAAACATGTTGTATTGACTGTACTTTTTTTTTTAATTTAAACAGCAGCAAATCAGAGTTAAATTATCCTCATTAGCATAAAAAAACCAGTTCGTAAAAATGTAGCATGTAACAAATGGCTTGAAAACTTAGAAACTAAACAAAATGCTAGTTTGAGTGTTACAAGCTCATTACTTTTCAATTTGTCAAAAAGTATTTGTCTTAAAACTTTAAGTGACTAGTAATTGGCGTGCATAGTGCATTATTTTTTTCTGATCCAAAGTTACATTTTATAAAAGTGTTGCATTATTAAAAATGAACTAATCGAAATAAACACACACATATTGATTTTAAAATATTGACCACATATTGATTTTAAAATATTGACAATTGTTTCGATGTCACATATAGATTTTTCTTAGGTAATATAAAGGTTTTATTTATTAAGTTCCTAGTAAAACAATTATATTAATATTGGTAAACTGATAAAATGGTCATTCGGATTTGCCAAGCATTGCAACTACACTCTCTATTTTTGATACATATTTTTATTTTTCTTCAAAGTATAATTTCATGAAAGAAGCACACGTTGGTTTTTAACTTTCAAGTATAACTGGAATTATGAACAATTATTTTATTTGGTCTGCATTATTTTTATTATTTTTATCTTGTGATGTTAAAAAATATGCACTTTCACTAAACGTGACTGGTAAAATGACCAGAGAGAGATCAGGTTCTTAGTTCATGTTTTAATAACGCTGCTGACTGAAAGATATAGTAAAATCTCATCCAGCCTCAAAAAAATAAAAGTATAGGTCAGCTAACAATTGAGGAATAAAAGAAAGTACTAGATAAAGAGCGCGTTTCTCAAATTGAGTAACTGTTCAATTTTAGGCCTTTTTATGGACATTTAAGTGCCTGCATTGATGCGTATCGAAGAACCATAACTGGTGGCTCAAATGATATGATTTAACACCGTAAAAGCGTTTAATTTCTTTCTGGGAATATAAGGTGCAAACCAAGAATCTTTAGTCAACAAAAAGCTTTGAAGAAGGAAATTGAACTGAGTAAACTAAGTAAAAATTCCGATCAGATTGCAGTGAAAAGTTCTTACAGTAAAATTCGCTTTTTCTTTTTTCGTAAAATTTTAAGGAACAAAAAATCTGATAAACAGTGATTTTTTTAATAATTTTTATTGTAAACACTAAATCACTGTAATTAAAGAAAAATATTGCAGTGAAAATCACGGTATATAATTCTTGGGAAATATGAATTTTACGATACAGCACTCAGAGTGCCAGTACTTTTTACTGTAATTTTATCCGGATATTTTTTTAATGTAGCAAAAAAATTCTAAAATTTTTATTAAAAATGATCACTGAAGATTTAGAAAAAATTTGCGAATGCACAAGACCATTTGTTCAATCTATTCCATCTACCCTATTATCTATATTTTTAGAATTATTAATCTATAGTTTACGGGTATTATCTCTATTTTAGGAATATTTTAAGAAAAATTCATTTAAAAATTTTCATTTAAAAAATTTAATCCTTTGATTAAAATTCTACGTAATCTATCAAAATAATTTGCTGCGTAAACTTCTGAATAATCTCTATATTAAATTTATTCTTATAATTTCTGTTAAAAAAAATAATATATTATGAAAATTGCTTTCTATAACAAGAATTCATCGAAAATATCATTGTATCTTAATTCAATAAAATTTATAAAATAACTTTACATCCATATATACCTTGTAAAAGCGCATTGTATGATCTGTTAATAAATAATAAAATGAGACTTTGATTAGGCGTTCTTTAAAAATTTCCAGAATCTCTACGAACCATAATGGAAAATGTAATGGAAGAAAAGTTATTAAGTTCACAATGCTTAAGGCGATTCTCATTTGAAATGTATTATTTTGGAAAAAGTTATAATTGAGTTTTATAACAAAAATTAACTTTTCTTATGTAGGGGTTGGACTTTATCATTCTGTTTTTTGGAGTATGAACAGATTTCAAAATGTATTTTTGATGTGCAAAGAAGCAAGAGTAAGAAGTTGAGAAATTTTGTAAAGTAAGTAAGTTCATTTTGAAATTCTCTCAAAAATGTATGTGCCTCTAATTATGTGATCTACTACATATTTGAGTTGACATTTGATAGCTTTAAGGCAGTTAAATTAGCCAAAATTGCCGTAATAAGCGATAAAATATAACTATGAATTTACGATAAAAAAAAAAACAATTTTTTTAATACTTTAATGCGGAAATTTTTGCCAAGTTCTCTTACAGACAAATGTGCGTCCAAAAATCTTCAAAGGTGTTTTTCTCGAAGTTAATTTCAGCTGAACTATAAAAAACCGATTCACCGATTGTCTTCACTGATCACCGACTAACTTCAAATCTTAACTGCGCACAGCAGTGGCTCTGGGAATAAAACGTTCGTCTCTCAATGAGATGACCCAGGTTCGAATCCCAGCAATTCTGCTCCCGACTCGCTGCTTCCGATCGAAAGTGCTGACGTAAATTACCCTCAGTGGTAGACGGATCATGGGTTAAAATACCTTTGCCATCAGGACAACCTTAGAAGAATTCCATGGTTTTTCCCTCAATGTTTACGCAAATACAGGTTAGTTCCATCAACCCTATGAAAGGTAGTTTACCCCAATGCTTGATCCAGGAGTTCCCTTGTCTTCTGATTTAGGATCAAAATTACAAAGCTACGATATTGATAATTACTTGCGTAAACTCAGAATTTGCTGTTCAATGCCGGATATAAAAAAATGAAGCAGTAGCTGCGTCTTTAGAATTTCATTCCTTACAGAAATATATATGATTGTATCACTTCAAACTACAGTGTTTTTTGTAAAACTATTAATTGTATTGAAAAAAAAGTATTATGTAATATTTTTACATTGCTTATAAGAAAACTAATTTAAAAATTCATCCTCCTTAATTTTATTTTAATTTTGTGGATTTTTTTTCTTCAGATTTTGATTCATTCATGATGTTTTTCTGCATTCTTTTTTTTTCAAAACATGCTTATTCTGTGAACCACGCAATTGTATCTGCGTGAATCATTGAAAAAACCGATTAAATGGAGCATTTGTAAACTCATACAGAACTTTTCATTTATAGCAATTTAATTTTATAAGTTAACATTTGCTTTAATGTTTTTATTTCAATTCTTAAAAGGGGGAAAATGAGCGCCACACCCACTTTTAGGGTTAATGACCTCTTTTACTATAGTGCTTTAAGATGAGCGCTTCACCCCACTTCGGATCAATGGCCTCTCGAATATAGTAAAAGCGCTCATCAGTATGGATGAGAGTTCAACTCAACTGATGAACTCTTACTACTGATGATGTAGCATGGCTCTTTACATAGCACGGTTTGGACAAAACAAATGCTTTTTAAAAATTTTGGGTATTTATTTTTTCCAACTATGGGTAACTAAAGCAAACTTTTTAATCTTAATCAAGTTTCAAATGAGATCCTCATTACAAAAGAATATTAAAAAAATTCACTTTTCCTCCTTTCCATCGATTATACATATGTTCTTAAAACATTGCTTGGGGTAAACAAATAAATCTTAAGACTTCTGATTACTTATTTCTTGAAAAATATGGGCAATTTTGAAGAAATTGACGCTTTCTTTATAATCTGGAACAAGTTTCAAATGATTTACTCATTACAAAAAATTATACAAATAACGCAATATATCCTTCCTTATAACTATAATAATGCTCCTAACTCAACATAGTTTTGACTAAACATCTGCTTCTTAAAAATCATGGGTATTTATTTTTTAACATCTATGGATATTTTTGAAATTTTGACTTTTACTTTGTAATGTAAAACAAACTTCAAACGAAGTACTCATTGTAAAAAATTATAAGAAATTCGCAAATGTTCTCCTTTATTTTTACATGTATTAACATAACGTAGCCTTGTTTGAACTAAAATTTGCGACTTAAAATTTTTGAGTGCTCAAGCATTTTTCTATAACATCAAAATCATATTAAATGAGTTAACCCTAAAGAAAGACAGAAATTGCTTTACTTATATGGCTGAAATTTTGTTTTACTCCCAATTTTAATAAAAATAGCTGATGAGAATTTTTAATGCGTAAGAATTTCAGAATATTATCTAAAAATGAAATGAGAAAAAGAAAGTTAAATTATTAAGGTTTTCTACTCTTGTAGACCAAAATGACCAGCGATTTAAAAAATTGATGAAAGAATCACTGAAAGACGATAGAAATACATAATTGCCGTGGTTTTCTATAATTTTCCATGAAATTTCAAAACTATTTGAAAAAAGTTCATCAACAAATGGCGCTGGTGACTAAAAACTCTAAAACAATTTTTTTTCTGCATTTCAGCTCATTTTACTTGGCTATTAATAGGAGCGTCAGACATCAATTAAAACTGAACTTATGTTAGCAAATTTACTGCTGCAAATCGTAGTTATATTTGTTGCTGTAGTTGTAGTTCATTTACGTCGCACTAGAGCTGAACAATGTGCTGTTGGCGACGATCTGGGAAACATACCTGAGGACGATCCGAAGACTTGCCATCACAATTTTGATCCTCAGCAGAGGGGATGGCACCCTCGCTTCGATAGCCCAACGACCTGCACGTGAAGTCAAGCACTTTACAGTAGAACAGTTTAACGAGGACCAATGCCACACACCCTCGGTCCCTACGCAGACTGATCCAAGTAGTCACGCACCCGCAGATTGACCGCAGCCAGTGATGCTTGACTTCGGTGATCCGGTGGGAACGGTGTTTTAACGATCAGTCCACTGCGGAACTAGTTATATTTGAAAACATTTTGCCATAATTTTTCTCTTTTATCAGCTCCATCTGATTTATAACTAATTTAAAACTTTGGTAAAAATAAATTCTCGGGTTTCTTTAGCTGCTCGTGGCGAGCAGTGCAATTTTATTTATTACCTTTTCTTTCAATCGATTTTTCATGTACTCTGTCATTTTTGACGCCGCCAATATTAGAACTGGACCTATTAACCCTTGTAAACGAAGCGTTATTTTAAAAATACATATTCATTCAACTATAAATATTCTCTCTGTATTATTACCTAGCAATTTCTTTCAAATACAATAATTATAGCAAACCAACAAATTGCATGATTTTAAGGTATAAGAATTATTTCGCAGGAAAAAAAACATTTTGTTTCAACGAGTATTTTCTTTACAAATTCTCTATCACGCACTCATTATTTTCTTTCTAAGGCCGATTGTTTTTCTCCTCGTAATGCTACAAACTTACTGCTTGATTGATAAGACCGGAAAATACCATTATTAGAGTCGTTGAAAAGCTTCAGCCTAGACAAAATGTTAAGACTGTTTTTTGTCTATTTTTTTTTCTTTTCAAAAAGGAACAAATTATTTTCTAGAGCGTTTTAGGAATATACTTAAAATGAGAAAACGATATTTTTATAGTTTCCGTTTTGTTCTAATCGAAAAAATTCACGTTTACGATAATTATGCATAGTGTTACCTTAAAATACCACCAAATTAAGGATTTTACTCATAATTATTTAAAAAAATAAAAATATCTAATTTTAAGCTATTTTTAACTTGGTAAAATATTTTGAAAATGTAGTAAAGAAATGAGTAAGGAAAATTTTTTTACAGTGCTTAAGATTCTGCAAAAGTAGTAAAATTCTTTCTCAAAATATTTTTAATCCTGAAAAATTTTTAAAATTTTATAAATGTCTTTTCACAACACATTCACCCAAACATTTTTTCAACTGTAAAATTTATTTATTAAATTACAACTCCATTAAAAACATTGTAGTGAGAAAAAACATCCCATATGTGGTTAACCAGTTTACTTACCAGAGCTTCGTCACAATTTATAGTAAACCACCGCACACAACTCATTTTTAATATTTATTATTATTATTTATCACAAAAAATATTTAGTTAATGATATAAGTGCTTAACCTTACAAAGTATACTAGACTTTCCTAGTTCAAAAAATTCTAGTCATTTATAACTGCGTCAATAAACATCTTCCTAATAAATTCCTCTGTAATAAAAATTTATATGGAACTGTACTAATAGATATTTAAAATGTCAGTGCTTGTACATTTCATTCCATATTTTTTATGTGTTTAATAATTCATTTAACACACTAGGCTCATTAAAAATTCTAATGCCCATTTTTATATACGACAAAGAGTCTTTGCTTCCTGCTCACTACTGTCACGTGTCCCCGTGATCAACTGTAAGTAAAAAAAAAATTTATAATAGATGAAGAATAGGTTCAAAAATTGGGTATTCTTTATTACATATTTCAAATCAGATGGTGATTTCAAAAATAGCATGCTTTTATAATTTTCCATTTTTAGTGTTTGCTGTTAAACAAAATAATGTATTTTCCTGGTAAAAAATTATATTATAATAAAATCTTGTAAATTATGCTAAAGTTAAAAAATAATTTTCTTGCAAAAGTAATTTTTTCAGCTTTCTTGAAGTTAACTGCATAATATAGAGTTTAGAAGTCAAAATAAAATTGCTGTTAGAATTTGTTTATTTCAAAAAACAAAAGAAACAATTGTGTTTTTTTTAATTGCACTAATATGTGTTTACTATGCACAAATCAAACAACTAAGAAACAATAAAGTAAGTAAATAAATCATTTAAAGTGTTCATTCTCAGAGATAAAGGGTGCACTTTTTTTAATTCGATAAGTCAAACGTTTTATACGAGTAAATTTAATATAGCAAAATGTTCTTAAATTCTTATTAGCTAACTGGCTATAGTTCTGAGACTCATAAAAAAACTTGATAAATGCTAAAAATGAGTGTTAATTCAAAGAAAAACTTTAAGTACTAATAAAAATTGAACAAAATAGAATAGTATGTTATCGGAAAAAAATCTACTTGGTAACATAAAGAAAAAGAATTTGAAAAATGTAAAAATATAATGAAAAAATTGGTTGAATAGTTCTATGAATCACACCGTGTGCGGATAATTAAAAATTTAATTTTAAAATTAAGATTTTTGGACGCTATGTAAGAGACTGAGATATTTTAAGATGCTTAAA